AGGCCCATATACTTGGATCAATTATTCCTCCATCGTTTTATTACCGACTGAAACGTCAATTCCAGGCGAACCCCCAACCTGGAGGACTAGGAGACTGAACTTCGTCTGACCTCTACTCATTGACCCTCCAGGCATGATAAGATCTCCTGGCTTGATAAAGCCATCCTGTGCAGCTCGTTGGGTCACAGAGGTGCACAAGCCATCACACCACGTCAAGGTGTAGTCTCGTCTCGAACAGAGGAAAGAGTGAAATCCACCGTGATTATCTAACAGTCAATCGACGCTTTCCGCTTCAATCAGATCTCAATTTTAATCGATCGTTAAAATTATCATCAAATTGTGTGATCTTCAGTGTCATGTTTAAAGAATCCTTATTTCCCGTCTACATTCAAGTTACGTTTCTCACTCTCATCTTTCAATCAGATCTAGTTCTCAATTCAAATCTGTTAAAATCAATTTGCAAATGTACATATAACAATTTTCCTCTTTGCTATTCTAACTGACAAGCACAGGGCGGCTTCGGGCTACAAATGAATTTCTCGGAATATATAGCCATTTTGCACTTGTCACGTGTATTTTTTGTTTGCGTACTTTTCTCTGCAATGCTTGTTTGTTTGTTCGTTTTTTATTAAAATGTGGGCATAGTTCTTTAGAAACACCATTGGCAACATAGCAAAATTTCTACGTCCGATCGTCTGAAATCGGTAAAGAGATGCACAAATTGTCTTCAGTGACAACTCCGTCCAACAGATCCTTTCTTCCTAGTTCTTCTTCGTCTCGATAGCACGATACGAAACTGAATAGCCGCAGCCTACCACCAAGAAACAAGAACGTAGATCTCAACGCATTGAGGACAGCGAAAAGTAGTAAGGCAGTACATCAAAAACTGCTTCAGTCCATCGCGTTCGTGAGTAGATCTTGCAAAAGATTCCCAATATACGACCACCGTGAATAGTTAAGAGCACAACGAAGCATGGTGATAACGGACACTAAACACTTTCGAACACAAGCTGATGTCTGATGTTGAGTGCCAACAGGCAATCAGAAGCTGATCAGAATTACACCGGGATACATGGAAAAAATTGGGAATTCGTGTGATAAGCTGGGATTGAATTGACCTGAGATCGCGGAGAAACTGACCTGCAAACATCCTTATCGAATTCTTCAAGGAATTGCATTTTTCGTTGACTGAAAGCCATTTTTACTGCTGCAGGAAGAATGGAATCGACCGTGGCAAAGTTGCACATCTCCACAAATCCTTCAATATCAACCGGACGCCGTTGATAAACAATATCCAAAAGTTGGGCGTACAGACGTTCATTGCGCTAGACCACAAGGGAGAAAAGATGATTGAAAGAGAAATTGGGATTTAAAGCGTTTGAAATAACTCTTAATTCCAATCAACTTTTAGGATAGCACCATACATTCCTATTGTTTGGCTTATGTTATGCATGATGAACGAAAGACGACCGTGCACATTCAAAGATAAACTGAACTGCCTATAACAGGACACTTAGTCTCCATGCCCAATATATAAGTGAACAAACAAAAGTTTCTCATACAACAAGTATCGAAGATGTCACTATGCAAGACGGCAAACCGATCATTTACAAAAATGTTCTTCAATCGCTTCACAACGGTTGGCTCCTCGTGGAGGAAAAGCCGGCTTTCGTCGAAGAAAAATGAATGACTAACAAATTTTATACGCACATAGACCGACATATATGTATATATTCTATGATAAGTAGTATATAAATGATACGAAAAAACATGGCTGGAAGCACACGACCGGTTCCGCGGTTCTTGCCGCTCGTTAGGTATGCGCATCCGATAATGTTTTGTCAGTTCATTCACGTGCGTATATATACTACTACTATTACTAACCGGATCGTATTCAATTGCCTCCTTCAAAACGCGGATAGCTGCTTCCTCGCCTGTTAGCAAAACACGATCATCATCGGTCAGTGTTTCTGGTTCTGGTGGGCTAATGATAACCAATCTTTGACGCCTATCTAGCAATGTGCGGATGCGTTCCTCTTCCTGAGCAGCCAACTCCTTCTCCCGCTTGATTCGAGCCTCTTCGGCAGCCTGGTACTCTTTCGCTTCATCGCGGTCCTCTGGTTCCTTATCTTGTTCACTGTCCACTCGAGGCCTCTTTGGTCGCTCGGACTCTTCAGTTTGCGAGTCTTGTTTCTGTGAATGTATCGAGCGCTTTTCACCACTGCGCGGTACAACAAGCACAGGGGGAGAGCCTGCGGCACTGAGATCATCTTGTTCCATTTCATCACCGGCCTGATCCTCATCTTCATCCAGACTGACATCTGAGTCGCTGGCTCCATCTTCCTTAGGCTTACTCAAATCGGCTTTTGAACTGCTCACATCCTCTTCTGCCTTCTCATGGGATTTCTTGTCAGTGTGGTCTTTCTCTTCAACGTCCTGTTCCGAAACCGATTGCTCATCAGGCTTTTTATGCTCAGCGTCGTCCTCATCGGCTTCCTCCATTTTAACAACATTCTCGTCTTCGTCCTCCTCACTGTCAACCATTGGTTCCTCCGCGATGTTGACCTCATCCTCCTCCTCTTCTTTGTATACAGTGTGAAGCAACAGCATCCACTGTGGAACACCGCCCGTGGTGAGCTGTTCGTCCCGGTGCAACATGCGAGCGAGACGTCCGGCCAAGACACCGGCTGCGGCACGCGCTTGTGAGGCTGTGGCGATCGCCTGAGCGACCGTTCTGGAAGCCGTCGGGCCGGACAGAGACTGGGATAGTTTGGTCTGATCTTCCGACAGATAACGCATACGGTTTACTCCACTCCGGAGACAGGCAATAATGTCGAAAAGCTTTTTAAAATAGGGAAAAAGGGGATATTAATAAAGAGAATAGCGACGTTAAAGTGATATTCGAAAAGATAAAGTTTAAAAGATGGCGATTCCAAACTAATAACATATGGGTCAAACCACTACTCACAACGGGCTGAGAGTTCAGAATGAAAATAAAACCCAGTTTAACTAGTTTATTTGATGAATACCGAAACCTGTAAGACAGACCCAATACGATGCGAGACTTTCACTAGAGGTAGCCAACCGTATGGCATATCTCTTTTTGGAAGTTATCAGGCTAACAACTGATATAACGGAATCGAAATGTGAACAAATACGAATGAGAAATCCAGGTCACCTAGGGTGAGTTGGTTGGCACAGTGGTAATATACCCGTCTTCTCTGCGAGGGTTCCAGTGTAAAACTCTGACGGGTCGGGAGACATGCACTATTGATGAGCTCTAAGAAGAGCGAAATTCAACCCTAGTGCATTCCGGTTGTAAGAGTGACTTGATGAGCCGAGGATGCACATGAAATCTGAGATGTATTCAGTTGAAATTAACAACACATCACATACCACTAATCACAAGTAGCACTGTGTTGAACGGGAAGAAAATGGAAAAACGTTTGTAAATCAGATTAACCGTTCAAACATTAAGAAAGGGAAATCTAATGATGTAATTGACATGTTTCGCTACTCAAGTTCAAGACGGTGACGCTGTCGTCATCCTTAACCCATCAGAAATTGAGCAGACATGACAAATGTGAAAGGTGTTCGTGTGTATGAGTCGATGCTCGCCTTGGACAGCGAATAGCACGAGGAGAATGTTTTAGAGCAGAGCAGTATCGTATTTCCGTAATTTTTCTTCAACTATTTGTTGTAACAAACTTTTTCCAACGAACAGGGTCGCATTCGATAAAAACCGGGTGCCGGCATGACACGCGTACATACACGCATTAGTCCAGTAGAAGAGTGACAGAAGCCTCGGTATGGTCGGGGGTCGGTGTTTACGGTTGTAGCTGGTCACCCTCTCCTTGCATCTCGCGAAATGCTCCCATACGACCAACAGTCCCAATAGTCTCTGTTGAGGAAGCCCTTCTCACTGCCTTCTCGTGGCGGAGGTATTTTCCCAACAAAGTGATAGGACGAAAAGCCGACATCCGAGGCTATAACCGGGTTGGTGGACCACTGATAGTCCACCTAGGAGAGTTGACCAAAACCCCTTATTCCAAACCAATCACCAGGAGGTGTACGAACCACAAACAACTTCCTGGTTGTGACAGTGGTCACCGGCTCAATTGGGCGAGGCTTATTGGACACCTTGGACGTTTGACTCCGTCCAA